CAAAACAAACTTGTTCCATAAAGTCAGATTATTTTTCTTTAGCAGAAACATTTCCTGATAGTTTGATAGTTATCGTTCACTGGCACACGGTAAATATGCTCTGATCTTTCAACATTGGATTGTGTTGTTGTTTGTTATGTGTGAATGTGCAACTTTTTGGCGGAGACACGGGGACGTGAGGCGACGCAGTACTCAGCTATCATTGTCACCAGTTCTCTGAAGACGGTTATGTCTTGGGTCTTGTCTAGTAGGGTGATGATGAAAGCGAACTACCACTTGTTGTCATCACCACCACAGAAGCCCCGCCTCTCAGTTCATCTGATTGGACAAGAGTAAAAAACGCTGATGATGTCAGGCGCCTTTCGGCTCTGAGCTGAAGTTTTTTCAGGGTGCGCCTAAAACATGAAGCACACAGAGCAGAGGAAACGTGAGGCGCTCAGCAAAACACGCTAAAACTCTGATCAGGAAGACGTGAGTCAGATTCACGTGTTTCTTTTTCTCTGTTTTAATTGTGTTTGTTGTTGTTTCCTATGTTGTTGTTCTGCAGACAAAGTTTCTACTGTTCAAAGTTCAGTTCTGACCGACGAGGATCAAAGATTTCTGGCTATTAATTATTAAAATTAAATTAATCCTCATAATGAAATCACATCTACATGAATGTTCCTCAGCAGCAGGACTGTGTCTGTCTTTGTTCTTTATTCCACTGAACCGTAGCGTGACTCTGTTCCACCTCTGATCATGTGACATGTGGTCGTCTCCTGAGAGACGAGCTGCGTCTCCGTTCGTCTCTCTCAGGATTAACAAACATGGCGGCTGAACTTCACGTCTAAACACAACTCTGATCTTCATCAGCATCAGTTAACGAGGACGAGGATGTTAAATTCTGAGTCCAAACACACTGTGAGACTCTTCAGTAAATGTTCTGACTGTTAGTACACTCTGACTGTACTGGTGTTACTGGTGTTACTGGTGTGAGTCCAGTTCATTCTGATTGTGTGAAAAGGCTGAAGTCAACCTGCAGATTACAGCACATTAACACAGTGTGTGTGTGTGTGTGTGTGTGTGTGTGTGTGTGTGTGTGTAGATTAGAGGTGATTAAACAGTAATCTGAATCTGGACTCAGACTAAATCCTTCAGATTAGTCAAATGGACGTTTCAGTTAAATAATCTTCATCACACAGATGATGATGATGATGATGACGTCAGCTTCATATAGGTCACATGACCTGCGTGTCAGTGTGTGACTTCACATAGGTTTCTGGGTTAAAGGGACTCTGTGTCCTGCTTTAACCAAACTTCATTCAGAACACGTCTCAGTGATGTCACTGCGTCCCTGAACTCTGTCTGTCAGGAGTTTTACTGCTTTACACAGAAACACATGAAGAAGAAAAATCATCCTCGCAGGTCTTCAGTCTGCAGACGTTATTCATCTCACACCAAACTTCATTTAATTTACTGTCATTGTTTAAAAAACTACACTATGAACAGCCAATCACATCTGACCAGAGTCTCAACCGACCAATCAGCTCTCAGTCCTGAAAATATATTGATCAGCCAATCAGCAACGATGTCAACGATTCATTATTGAAGATTATTCTTTTGCACAAATGGAAGAAAAGACTCAACACATGTGAAGTACGACAAACTACGACCTGCCTGAACCACGCACGAACTTATCTTATTGATCACTAGAGTTTAGATTGGGCCCAAAAAATCCAGCCCGATCCGCCCGAGCCTGTGCATGTTCTGTCCGAGCCCGGCCCTTTACCTGTAATTACAAGCCCGAGCCCGGTTAAAGGGCTGGCTCTCATCTTTCTTCCCATGGCAAGCCTTCGTCATGTGCCTCTTCAGTGTTGAGGTCCCCGTCTATTTGCTGTCATATACCAGCATGGCGCTGCACTTGGTACACCCCGTGAAGCCAACACACACATTGTCACCGTCAACAACTCACATGTGCGCGGCCAGTGCCGCTGTCAAGGGGGGCAGCGCCCGAACCCACCCCTCGGGTCAGGTTTGGGCTCGGGCAGAGAACCTAAGCTCTATTGATCACACAGTAACTGAACGGGTTACACATTTACACTCTGTTTAGATAAATGACTCCGCAGCAGCAGGAACTACACAATATTACTGCACAAAGTTAAAACATAACATTACTGCAAAACATAAGTACACAACATGACTACATGTTACTAAACAAAGTTACTGCACACTGTAAATACACACTAGCCCCTTTTACACTGCCAGATTTTCAGCGAATGTTGGGCCGTTTTTCCGGCAAGCTGCGAGCGTTTAGACACACAGAGCCGGATTGGAGAGTTGATCCGAGGTGCCCAATTTTCCTCCTCGTAGGGTAGACATATTGGTGGAACCCTTTTAGTTTAAAAAGACCGAGGCGGCCTTCTGCAACGGGAGGAGCTGCTGATGACTTGTGGGAGGGGCTGTTGAAGACTTGTGGGAGGGGCTGTTGAAGACTTGTGGGAGGAGCTGTTGATGACGCCACACGTGCGAGCCACTGGCGGTGGATAAACAGGAAACAGCTGATAGCAGGAATTAGCGAGCAGCTAGTAGCAAGAGGGAAACACAAACCTGACAGACACTGTAAAGATGAGCAACTGGGGAGACAAGGAATTGCGCGCCCTCCTTGTCCTCGCAAACGAAGAGGCCATTAACCGTCAGATGACGGGGACGGTGAAGAACGGGCCGACTTATGAGAGAATCACAGAAGGACTGACCAGCCGCGGCTTCCCTCCCACGTTACTGTTTACGTCACACGCTGAGCTACACGTTTTGTTACTTGCTCACGCCCCCCATTGCCCCGAAAAAGGCACATTCTGTATAAACAAAAGTAGGTAGGCGGCATTTTGCTGCACTCCCTAATTTTGTTTTTATACTGCCAATGCTGAAAAAACACTGATTGGGCTTTCCTGCAAATTTGCACAACTCCTGTTTAAAAAGGGCTATTGTAACTACACACTAAGTACACACCCAGCTGGGCACGTCAGTCTTTGATGATACTGATCCTCCAGTCGACCCTCTGTGATCGTATCTGACGTTACAGTTCACTCTGTGTTCATGCTGTCGATTCTCTTTTGTTCTGACTGATGTGATTTTTTTATAAACCATCTCAGACACTGTAAATGGCTCCCTTTCTACTTCCTGTCGGACTGTTAGTTAGTGTGGACAGGAAGTAAACAAGGACCAAAGCTGTAACCATGGCAACAGCATAACAATGACACAGTCTGTACGTAGAGACCATATTTAGTAACAGCCTGACAATGACTGACTCACTCTAACTGTTTAATATGACAAACTGTAAACAACCATCTCACACACACACACACACACACACACACACACACACACACACGCACACGCACACACACTCTGAACTATAACGATGATGCACAGTAACATGATGTGTGTCTGCAGCTGATGAAAAGTGTGTTGTTCTGAAAAGTTCGGTCACAAATACCGAACGTATCCACGTTTACTGTGGGTCTAATCACTGTGGAGTTATCCTGACACACTGGAGACAACAAAGGGTTAATGCAGAGATGAAATATCATCTTATGAATGAAGCTCAGCAGAATGACTGAGGATCAGGAACAAAACAAGACAGAGGAAATAAAACAAAAGAGAAACTGTGCTATGAACACATGTTGTAAGCAGTGATGTAATAACTGATAATGTGTCCGCCAGCCTGAGCACGCCTTGGTCACCTTTAGTTACCTGCCTTGACCTAGGGACGACTAGTGAGGGGAGACTCGAGGATCTCAGGTCACGACTTGGAGCGTAGGGAGTCAGACGCTCAGATATATGACTCAGTGCTGAACCATGTTGAGCTCTAACGGTTATTAAAAGAACCTTAAAATCAGCTCTGAGGTTAACTGGCGGCCAGGTCACACACGTTTTCATGGACAAAGTTCCAAAACTTTTCCAGGACTTTTCAAGGACCTGCAGTCATATTTTTCACACATTAGAGTTACAGACAATAAATAAATATGTGGGAGATTATCCATGGAGAGTTACGGTAACAATTTCATAATACACAACAAAGCTCCAGGACTCTTCCAGGCCTGGAAAATGAGACTGCAGGACTTTTCCAGGTCTTCCACCGTGGGAACCTTGACTCATGGTGGTGGTAGTGACGGCGCTGACTGTCATGGATGAACCACATGTGTGTTATGTGACAGTTTTCCAGAGAAACTTTGAGCAGGTTCATCAACTTCCTGTGTGTGTGTGTGTGTGTGTGTGCACGCGCGGGGGGGTTACTGTTTTTTGTTTGTGTTCTCAGGGGGTCATGTGACGTGAAGACTTCTCTTAGGTAGCGTCAGCAAAGGTGACTTCTAAATTCACTTCTGCCATAAAACACAACTGTGTGTGTGTGTGTGTGTGTGTGTGTGTGTGTGTGTGTGTTGGAATGTCAGCTATTCAGTATGCGGCTGCGGGCCGAGCCGTGCCGTGCCGGGACAGGCTGGGAACACCCGACACACTCACACACTCACACACTCACACACTCACAAACACACACACTTTTACAGTTGATGAAAACTGTTTCCGGTTGGACTGAGACATTAACCGAACTGAACTGATTCAGTCTTCAGACTCAGCTGTTACATTCGGCTCCCTCACAAACCACCAACCAGACACTGTTACAGAAATCTCAACTTTTAAACTCGCTGATCTGCAGCTCGGCGGCTGAGTGTTACACAGCTCTGTGAATCCAAACACACACTGAAAACTGAGATTTTATCAAACAGCTGCGGCCGAACGAAAGACCGTCTCACCTTGTTTCACAAAACACATTCATTGTGTTCTCTCAGCGCTCAGTGAAGACAGAAAAGTGACAACATGTAAAACGCTCAGATCTTTGAATGGAGTCTGGCGCGTCGCTGTCAGACACGCCTGACTCAAACACGCTCTTTCCTTCCTGCAGCAGCTGCAGCTCGGTCCAACTTAGAGCCGTGAAAACGAGACAATGTGATCCGGGTCACACTCACCTGAGCTCGGCGGGCAGGTCTGTGGTCCGCCGGGGTCCGACCGGCCCGGTGCCACTTCCAGAAAACCTGCACAGAGTCCAGAGGAGACACAAACGATCCGCACCGAGAGCCGCACAACAGGTCCGACAGAGACCCCGCCCCGCCCCGCCCCGCCCCGCTCCGCGCGGCGCCGGGAGCTTTTCTGACACTCCACAGCGGCGGAGCTGCTGCCTGGCTCCTGGGCAGGGAAGAGAACCGACAACCTGCAGCTGCCGCCTGGCTCCTGGGCAGGAAGGGAACCGCCAACCTGCAGCTGCTGCCTTGCTTCTGGGCAGGAAGGGAACCGACAACCTGCAGCTGCTGCCTGGCTCCTGGGCAGGAAGAGAACCGCCAACCTGCAGCTGCTGCCTGGCTCCTGGGCAGGAAGGGAACCGCCAACCTGCAGCTGCTGCCTTGCTTCTGGGCAGGAAGGGAACCGACAACCTGCAGCTGCTGCCTGGCTCCTGGGCAGGAAGGGAACCGCCAACCTGCAGCTGCTGCCTGGCTCCTGGGCAGGAAGGGAACCGCCAACCTGCAGCTGCTGCCTTGCTTCTGGGCAGGAAGGGAACCGACAACCTGCAGCTGCTGCCTGGCTCCTGGGCAGGAAGAGAACCGCCAACCTGCAGCTGCTGCCTGGCTCCTGGGCAGGAAGGGAACCGCCAACCTGCAGCTGCTGCCTTGCTTCTGGGCAGGAAGGGAACCGACAACCTGCAGCTGCTGCCTGGCTCCTGGGCAGGAAGGGAACCGCCAACCTGCAGCTGCTGCCTGGCTCCTGGGCAGGAAGGGAACCGCCAACCTGCAGCTGCTGCCTTGCTTCTGGGCAGGAAGGGAACCGACAACCTGCAGCTGCTGCCT